TTATGTGGTCCTATTGCCCGATAATAAAACTAATAATAAGACTAATAATAAAACTAATAATAATAAAAATAATAATAATAATAATAATAAACAATTAACGAAAAAACAACAATAACCTAGGTTATATATATATATATATATATATAACTCAATTAGCAATCTATCTATTTTTTATGTAACTTTATTTTTATTATTTAATTGTTATTATTATTGTAAAGTAGTAATTGTAGTTAAGGAAAAAAAATTAATAATTTAATTAATTTTTTAGTAAATTGTAGTCAAATTTTTTTTATATAAATATAAATTATATATATTTTTTAATTATATATATAATTTTTATACACATATACTAAGTGCCAGTCGACTGAATCAATCAACTCATCATTAAAAATCATTTTCTCATTTTTTGTTTGTTTTTTTTTGTTTTGTTTCATCAAATCATTAATTAAATAATTAATTAATTAATTAATTAAAAACATTGTTTTTTATTGCTTTTATTTTTTTTATTGTGAAATTATAAACTATATATATTGATATCTAGTTATAATAATTGGTTTTTTAAATATTTTTATTTTATTTTTATTAATATAATATTTTGTGATTTATTTTTTTTCTTATATATTATTAATTTGTTGTTGTAATGTAATAATTGTTTTAGTGAAATAATATTAATATTGATTATTATTATTATTAATTATTAATTATTGTACATTTAGAGAACCAAAAAATATATATATATTAATTGTTTGCAATAAAAATCAATATTATTTTTCTATAAAAAAAATATTATTTTAATTATATTAATACTGGTATAACATTTACATAAAAAAAGTTTTATCCTATTTGTTATTAGTAGTTAAAAATCTACTGTAATTTAATTTTTACTAAATTTATTTTTTAAAAAAATATGTGTTTAAATTTTTCGCATAATAATGTGTGCAGTATAATATTCAATATAATAATAATTAATAAATATAATACTTATTAATTTAATTTTTATATTTACTATTAATATCTAGTAATGTATAGTAAATCCTAATCAAAAAATATTTTAAGGTATGATTTAAAATATTATTATTATTACCGATAATTGTTTTATATATTTTACGGTATATAAGCTGAGACCTGATTAAAAGATTTCCATAAACAGTAATATTAAGTTAATTTATAATATTAAATGATTATAATTAAATAAATTGATTCATCAATAATTTTATTCAAATGGTTTTTAATTCATATTTTAATTCATTTTTATATTACATTTAAAAATTTTCTGATTTTTGTCAATAGATTTAGAAAATTTATTAAATCATATATATATATATATATTTAAATTAAATTATTATATATACAGTATTTTTTTAATATATATATATAAAATAAAATTATAAATAATAATAATAATAATAATATAAATATATAGTATTTTATGTTTGGTTTGTTTTGTTCACTTCATGAGAAATGTGTATTCAATACAAGAAGTTTATCCAAACTATTCATATCCAGCGACTGACGTCTTTTGGATAATTGTTCGCCATTTGGACAATAATGACAACATCTGGTCACTACCGGCGGTATTGTTAGTATGGTTTGGGCCAACAGCCGCAGTCGCGGCAATCGCGACGAATGGTCAGTCGTCCAGAATTCTAGCGGCTGTGTCTGTTGGCCGACATCTAAGTCCAGATATCTTTGTAATTCATCTTTTTCTTCTTCGTTTGTCTCATCCAGATATTCGGTAAACGTTTCGTGAAATGCTTTCAACTTTTTTCTATTATTATTACGACTACTTCTTTCCTGATCTTCTTCTTGATCTTCTTGATCTTCCTCTTCAGTATCGCCACCAGAAGTACAACAGCTGTCATCATATGTTGATTGTCTTAATAATTGTTGCGATAATAATAACTTTTGCTTCGCCGACGATGATAATGACGACGAAGAAAACTGCTGCTGAAGTTGTTTGCGAATCATTGTATAAGTTCGGTCTCTTTGATCCTGTGATAGCATTTTCAGTTTCTTGAATCGCGGATCAAAACATACGGCCATCAAATAGCGGCAATGATTTAGTCGACTCCGACGGATGGCTTCGCCGAGCTTTTGTTTCATCGATTTGATGACCACACCGTCCGATTGATGACATTTACAATGATTTTCCAGTTTGACTTTCCAGAGTACTATCAAATTGATGGATGTAGTGGTGGTAGTGATGATGGTATCAACAACAGACTTGTCATTATTTGTTGTCGTAGTTGTTTCGCTATGAAAATAGTTGAGCGCTTCCATGAATGGCGACAAAAAGTCGACTATTTCTCCGAACAATTGTTTACCGATATATTGAAATTCGTGTCCATTATTATTATTATTACCGTTAAATAGATTGTTAATATTTGGCAATTCTTTCAATAGTTTCATTAAATTCAATATTTGAAACCAATTATCAAAACCGGAAATACTTTGTGCAATAAATTTCAGACAAAACGATGATTCAACAGATGATGACTGTATTATTAGATTATTGACAACAACTTTGATTTCGTTCAGTAGTTCCCGAAACTCTTCGATTGAATGTAATTCGTCTAATATTGTACTTAATTGATGGCTAACGCAAAACATTATATTATTATTATGATTATTATTATCATTGACTTCGTCATCATTATCATTATCATCATCATCGGCGACGACAACATTATAATCGCTAAACTGATTGTCAAACAGATAGACATAATCGGCATTCGGATCGCAAACTTCTTTGCGTATTGAATCCAATTGTTTAATCAATTGCTGGCCATTTGTTGTCGATGTTGTTGTTGTCGATGTTGGCGTCAGATGTGTTATATCTTTGGTAACATATATTCTACAATGATTTTGTTGTGTCCAATGAATCCATACAGTCATAAACCTACGATTGGTAACCTCTTGTGTCCACAAGTCGACAACAAACGTTACAAACGATAACTGTTTGATTAGACTTTTGAAATCAAATTGTAAGGTATCGTAGGTTTTCGCGAATAAACTTTTAATCGGAAATCTTTTAAAACTAAGCGAACCATTGATTGCACCGAAACTAATCAATTGTTCGGCTAATCGGATAAACGATGGCTTTTCTAATACATCCAGAGGTATCAGTTCTGTTGAAAACAATTTGATTATATTCAGTGCAATCAGTTCTTCATTGGTACCATTGATTGTCATCGTTGTCATTGTCTTGTTGTTGTTATTGTTGTCTTCGTTGTCTAATTGATGATTATTATCGGTAATTGAAGTTTTCAATTGTTGGCTACGATTTGTTTGATTTATACTATTATTATTATTATTCTTCGACGAAGACTTTATGGATAAATCTTCAGCTATAAGACAGTTGTTTTGTGTTAAATTCTGGACCAACTCTAAGGCGGCCAACGAGTTGAGCGGCGGTAACGGCTTTAAGTCTTGACTAATGTTGTTTGAAAACAACGACAACGCCGACGATGTCGAAGCAATAGTAAAATCGGTAATATTTTTTGTCGAAATAAATGCCGATTGACTGGAAAAGGACGACGAGTTTTGCGAAGACGGACGAGCTTTTGACGACCGATTGGTTAGCGTACTGAACGGTATGCCGGCAGCGATAGCCGCGGCAATGGCGTGCTTTGAACACGGATGACGGTGTAGGCCACCGGTACCTTCGCGGGCCTTATAGCTGACCGGTTTCATACATCGGATGCATACGGCGTACGGCAGTGTTATGCCGTCCAAACAGACCAGCCGAAAGAAGTGCCAGATGTCGGCCCGGGCGTCGGCAAACTCTATTAGCCGAACTCTGGGCGAGTTTTCCCGAATCAATTGGGCAATCATTGTCTTGTCGTCCACTATTGTCGACAGTTTTGTGATACGACTGTCCATTATTTTCCTATGAATTTTTTCACCGCTGATGAAAACTTTTTTCTTCTTCTAAAAAATAAAAATAAAAAACTTTTTTTTTTAGTTAAAAAACTTTTTTTAATTTCTTCGAAGAAAAGTCCGTCGATTTTAATGATAATAAAATAATGGCAAACAATAAACACATAATCACTGGTTGTCTCTATCTCTATATGCTATGAAAAAGGGAATGGCTTTTCACACACACTGTATTACCATTGCCTACCAGTGCTCACTCACACACACACTCACTCACTCACTCACACACAATCACACATACATATAGACATATAGACAAACATACAGAGCACTCACGTACGTCACGCACAACATAACACACACACACACACACACACACACACACACACACACACACACACACACTCACACAACTAGACTTTATGTGGTAAACCGTTACCCGTTTTTTCCAACTTTTTAATTTTTCTACCCGGACATTTATTTATTTCTTTATTTATTAATTATTATTAATAATTTTTTATTTGTTTTAATTACAATTAATTTTTTTAATTAATTAATTATTTTCGTTATTATTATTATTAATAATTTTTAAAAATTTATTTTAATTACAATTAATTTTTTAATTAATTATATTTAAATTTAATAAATTTAATTATTTATTTATGTTATTATTATTATTAATAATTTTTTATTTTTAATTAATTAATTAATTATTATTATTATTATAAATTAAAAAAAAAAATTTAATACAATATTAGTTATAAATTATAACTTATAATAATAGTTAATGGGTTTAACCCCCCCCCCTACACACACACAAAATCATATTAATATAATATACGGTATATATATATATATATATATAGAGAGAGAGAGAGAGAGAGAGAGAGAGAGAGTACTATCTATTGCATTACAAAATTATTGTTGCCTAACAACTATTAATACTACACTGTATTTACATTGTGTTTACAATACTTGAAATTAATGTAAATTTATTATTTGATATCAAAAAAATAAAAAGTTTGTATACAAATAACAAACAGTAATAAAATAATATTAAAAAAAAAAAATAAAATAATATAATTTAATATTACTGTTAAATACTGTAAATATTCAGTCATTAAAACAAAACACATGTTTTTGTTATTAAATTAATAGTTGTCTTAATTTAATAGTTAATATATGATGTGTTAAACTTGTTTATAAACTGTTTGATCATTTCTATACAGTATATCATAGTCACCATTTGGATCAATTAAATAATGGAGGTAAGAGTTTGATCCATTGAAGTTTTTTTTGTTAATTATTAAAAAATTAAATCCAATTGAATGACCAAATCATTATATAATGATTAACAACAACCAGAAAACACCGATTAGTCGACTACAAGAAATCTGTGCCCACAATGGCCTCCAACCCGAGTATCAACTGTTATCAGTCGAGGGTGTAGTTCATGCGCCGACTTTCATCTATCGGGTTCAGGCCGGAGGTAATTATCATATCACATATATATATATATATATGATATATCAACTAATAATTGTCCATCAATTGTCTTATTATGGTTATAACCACACTAATGGTTATCCATTATCATCAATACCCGCGAACACATGCGTATACAGAGGTGACGGCAACGGCCACCGGTCAGAGCAAGAAAAAGGCTAAACACGCGGTCGCCCGAAGAGCTATCGAAATGATTATTACCGAAAGTGACTATCAGGTGGAAGAAGCGGATACTATACTGGAGATAATGAAAGAACTGAGTCTTAAGTAAAAAAAAAGTGTTTTTTGTTATAATAATAATTATTTTGATCACTAAAAAAATCTAATCGTTTTTTTAGTGATAGCAATGAGACAGATCCCGATGCCGGTGTAGTTGGCGGCGGTGGCAGCAGCAGTGGCGACGGCAACGGCGGTTGTGGTGGTGGTGGTGGTGGTGATGATAGTACCGGTAGTTATAGTCTCGATAATGACACCACTGACGATAGCAATCCGGTCGGTAAACTGCAGGAAATATGTATGAAAAGACATTGGCGGCCACCGCTGTACGAAACGATCAGCGAAGAAGGACTGCCACACGAAAGAGTGTTCAAAATGAAGTGCATTATCGAGAATATGGACTTCAGTGAGACAGGAGTGGCCAAATCGAAACGGCTGGCCAAACGAAAAGCAGCACTACTTATGATCAAACGATTGAAAGACGAAAATTTAGCCGACGATGACATTAACGTATGTATTGGTGGTTTGGCTTTTTTGATCCATTACTTAATCAAACAATTATTTGTTTTTCAGGACAAAAATGGTCAACAATTTGAATCAACATTTATAGATAATTTTATTGAATCGAAAACAAGTGGTCAAGTAATACCAGCCAAAGTCAAATTGGATAACTTTTTGAAGTTGGATCAGTTCACCGAAGACGTACACGAAAATATTAACAAATTGATTGCCGACTGTCTGGATGACGACAATAATATAACAACTATGGGTCTACAATACGATACCGACTATTTGACTAAACTGTTAGAATTGACCAAACAATTGGACTGTCAGTTCAAAGTGCTAACTGTGCCTCAGCTAAGCTACTCGAATACCTACCAGTGTATGATTCATGTCATACCCAATGATATTACCTACACTGACCTACCGGTACTGACTTCCTGGGGTACATCCGAACAACTAGAAGATGCCAAACAAACGGCTGCCGGCAATGCCATCAAATTGTTTAGTTTGTTAAAAGAAAAGCATGTGATCAACAAACTATCGGTTAACAAAAATACCGTAAAATCCGTCCAATTGGCCGAAATTGTTGCCTAAATATTTAAAGCGGTAATACTGTAGTTAAGCGATGAGTTTGAGTTTCATCTACAACAACAACAATTAGGATCTAATTAATTAATTTATTCATTTTGATGATTGCATCTTTTTTTTAAAAAAATTTATAATCATTTAAATACCGGTAATAATAATTTTTTTTATGCTTAAGTTTCATATCATTATAAAAAACATATACATAATGTTTGAGAAAAATAATAGTCACATAAAAATGTATTAATAATTTTTTTTGTTGATAATTGATTACAAAAGAGAAAAAACAATAATAATAAATATATCAATGATTTTCAAGTATACAAACAGGATTGTCGTAAACCATTTGTAGATCAACTTTATGACCGCATAGATCACGGATGTTATCGATACCGTACTTAATCATTGTCGGCCGTTCCAGACCCAGACCCCAACCCAATACGTTGACATTGGGCGGCAAACCCATTGGCAGCAGCATTTCGGGTCGGAAAACACCCGAATTACCGATTTCTACCCATTTTTTCAGTCCGTCGTGATAGCTGTACACTTCCATCGATGGTTCAGTGTACGGATTATAGGTCGGTTTGAAACGTAACCGTTTGATACCCAACTTAAGAAAAAACTCCTGAATCAGACCCATGAGGTCGCCTAACGTAACGCCAACATCGGCAACAACACCTTCGATCTGATGAAATTCGGCCAAATGTGTGGCGTCTAGTGTTTCGTTACGAAAAACCCGATCAATGCTAAACAATTTGGCCGCTTTGAACGGCTTTCCGTCCCGTTGGCATTCCTGAGCCAATTGGTAGAGCATTCGGGCGCTAACAGCGGTCGTATGCGTACGCAATACATTCTTCTGGGTTTCTTCGGTCTTCCAGTCGTACTGATAGCCTTGGGAACCAAAATCGCCCGAACTATGAACTGATCTAACTTTTTCCATATATTCGACGGGTAATTGTGTACAGTTTGCCGGATCTGCCAGAAAAAAGGTGTCCTGAAGATCGCGAGCCGGATGTTTTTGCGGTACAAACAGGGCGTCAAAGTTCCAGAAAGAACTTTCGACAAACCGATTGGTCGGCATCTCCGAGAAGCCCATCTCCAAGAATATCTGTCGAAATTGTTCCCTAACTTTTAACAATGGATGCAAGTGTCCCCTATCGGGTGCTATACCCATGGCGTCGAAGTTATAATCTTTGAATTGTTTGTCTTTCCATGTATTCTTCGAAATCATTTCAGCCGTCAAATCTGTTTCTTGTTTGACAATATTCAGCGTAAAGTTATCTCCTTTTTCGATGTCATAGCTTTTGACCACTACTTCCTGAATCAGTTTTCGTTTCTTTAGATCTTGTTTTTGCTGATCACTAACCTGTAATTGATAATCAAAACAAATTATTTGGTCAAAAGTCTTGGGACAGTAGTATTGGATAGTTTAGGGACAACAAACCTCATCGATAGTCAAAGAACCGATCTTTTTCAACAACACTTGTACTTCATCTTCAATCGACTGGACATTTCGTTTGACAATCGATTTGTTGGAACTCTTGTCGATAGCGATCCACTTCTGCGACATGGCTTTACTGAAGCCAAGTTTGGCCACTGACGGGTTGCCGATTATCTTCATCAGCAGCGACTGTTCAATGCCGCCATCATCGCCGGCTGGAACAGCATTGAAAACAATAGCTTCGTGGCTGCCATTGTCGGCAATATGTCGGCCTTCTTGAGTCAGATCCAGACGTTTGGTTTCTGTTTGCTGACATCGGATCAGTTCGCCTATGGATTGTAACGACTTGATAGCGCCGACCAACCGCTGATGATCAATAGACAGCTCATTCGATAGACTCAGTGAATTCAATTTCTGTCTTTTGTCCAACAGTTTCAATATGTCTTCGGCTAAACTGTTGTCTGCAGACATCACTAGTACTGTAATAACGCGGTTATAATAATTAAGTATCTCTTTGGACACGGATTTAGATGGAGAAGGAGGCAAACAAAACCCAAAAAATCAAGTTCTTATTATAAATTATTATTATTGTCTTCCAACCAATTGATCCAATGGTATAATGGTTTTTAAAATGATGTCATCGATGGTCACAAAAATATTACATCACTCAACGTGTTGTTCACAACAATATGTGTATAACTTTTATATACATTGAATTGTATTATTAAATACTGTATTATAAAAGTATTGTAAACAATGTGTGTATGTGTTTGACATACAATACAAGTGTTGCCATCAATGAGTTAGTTATACGTTATATTAGATTTAAATTTAAAAAAAAAAAAAAGTTTTTATTAATTATGAAAATATTTTCGTTAATATACTTTTAATAGTAATTATTAATTATTTTAAAGTTTTTTTTTGTTTTAGTTATTATATAGATATATATTTAGATTACAAATAATACTAATACTACTAATAATAATTAAAACTATAAATATCTTGTATAACTAAAAAACTAATTTAGATTTATTTTTGAAAAGTTTTTATTAATTAAGAAAATTTACTTTTTTAATATACTTTTAATTAATTATTTTTAAATTTTTCTGTTTTAGTTATTATATAGATATATATTTAGATTACAGATATTACTAATAATAATTAAAACTATAAATATCTTGTGTAACTAAAAAAAACTTAATTTACATTTAATTTTTGAAAAGTTTTTATTATTAAGTAATTATATAAATGAAATACACAATCATTTTTTAAATATGAATTATAAATTAATTATTAATTATCAAAAAAAAAAATGTTTTTTAAAGGTCTAGTTTGTGCTGTTCTTGTTGTTGTTGTCTCAGCTGTTGAGTCGTAAATCTCCGATTAGGTCTTAGCTGATGAAGTCGATTATCATCGGGATCTTCGTCACTGTCTTGGGCTACAAATCCGCGACAATAGCTGACTGTCTTATAGATGGCCAAAATTGCATACAATAGGGCCAACAATAGTGTTATGAAGCCAACAATACCGACGGACAGGTCGAAAAAGGTGATGGCAATGGTTAGGCCAACAAACTGGACGGACCAGACAATTGTTTTGATTGATTCAAACGTTAGCCATTTGAACGATGGAAATGCTTCGACAATATGAAATGAATAGCAAATCAATAGCAAAGTTTCGGCTATTATGGACACCAAACAAACGAATAGTAGATAATATTTGCCACAAGTTTCTGATTTCGTTGTCAACGGATGTCGGCGTTTGACAACTGTTTCGTTGTAAGCAATTTCACTGATAGTCAATCCGTGATGTGATGATGACTGCTGTTGTTGTGGATGATTGTGTTGTTCATCGGAAATCAAATCAAACACTATAATGATAACAATCAGTAGACATAGGGTTAGGATCATAAACCTCAGGTATGATAGACAACCATTGAGTTCATTGAAATCAAATCGGATTTGTTTGCACCGATTCGTTGATCGTCTATTGTTTTTCGGTAAATTTTGGCGAAAATTTTTCGGTACATATTCGGCAACCACTTTCGTCGGTGACGACGATGATGACGATGCCATAGATTTTTCTTCCTCATCATTGTTCTGTCCATCCAATTGTCTGTTAGGTTGTTGTTGTCGATGATCACCAAATGGACTGTTAATAGTTATATAAGATTTTTGTAGACATTTATCAGATTTTTTATCATCAATTATGGTTTCATTGATCTTAGTATTCATATTCATATTATTATTATCATTACAATTATGATTACAATTATTTTTAATATTCATTATCCAAACAAACAAACAATTTCTAATAAATTATAATGGCCTATACGGAGTTTACGCACATTAGAAAAAATTGATTTTTTTCAACAGGAATTAGTTAATTGGTAACTAATAAACATATATCCTTCAAAATTATTGCGCGGAAACACCTAAAACCCAACTAAAATCTAATTTAAATACCTGAACTCTCATAACATAATTATAAATTAATTATAAAAAAGTTAATATTAGTCTATTGTTAAGCGCGAGAACTATATAAACATTTATAATAACTCTTAAAAAATAATATTGTTGTCAATGACTATCAAGATAATACTTTAAGATAATATTCTCTGGATTTTTGTATATATGTCTGACACATTTTCCCAAAAACAATATTTTAATTCAAACCCAAAAAAATTATTGATATATTTTCAATTTTAATTTATAGCAATGTTATTTTTATTTTCAACCTAACCTAACCTAACCTAACCTAACCTAACCTAACCTAACCTAACCTAACCTAACCTAACCTAACCTAACCTAACCTAACCTAACCTAACCTAACCTAACCTAACCTAACCTAACCTAACCTAACCTAACCTAACCTAACCTAACCTAACCTAACCTAACCTAACCTAACCTAACCTAACCTAACCTAACCTAACCTAACCTAACCTAACCTAACCTAACCTAACCTAACCTAACCTAACCTAACCTAACCTAACCTAACTTAACCTAACCTAACCTAACCTAACCTAACCTAACCTAACCTAACCTAACCTATACAGTACTGGGGTTACCGAATCAGTGTTTGTCGCGTTACCTAACCTGGTGTTCGATCCGCAACCTAACCTAATTTTCAATAGTAACCTAACCTAATATATGCAGTACTTGGGTTACCGAATCAGTGTTTGTCGCGTTACCTAACCTGGAGTTCGATCCGCAACCTAACCTAATTTTAATAGTAACCTAACCTAATCTATGCAGTACTGGGGTTACTGAATCAATGTTTGTTCGTTACTTAACCTAACCTAACCTATATTTATAATAATAAATAAGTATTTAATTTTGATTTATAATTATTAATAAATAAATAATTATCTATAATACTGTTTAATACAATAAATATATTTTGTTTACTAATAAATTACAAATAAATTTACTATAATATATAGATATTTATTAGTATTAAAAATAAACTAGAAAACAAATGCCTCCTCTTCCGGCTCATGGATGTAATGTTAATTTTCCAATCAAATTGATAGCTATAATATTATTGTTAAGTATTAACAACAATATATTTATATTAAAGTTGTTATAAATGTTTATTATTATCACGCTCTTAATGATTGTTTAATATTAATTTTTTATATTATTTAATAATAAGTGTATAATTATGTTATGAGAGCTCAGGTATTTAAATTAGATTTTAGTTTGGTTTTAGGTGTTTCCGCGCAATAATTTTGATGGATATATGTTTTTTAGATCATAATTAACTATTCTCTGTTAAAAAAAATCAATTTTTTCTAATGTGCGTAAAGTCCGAATTAGCCATTATAATTAATTAATTAATTAGTTTGACATTTAAAATTTATTTAAATACAGTATTTTAAAACACTTATTATTATTTTTTTTAATAAAAATATTTTTATAATAGTTTAAATGTATGTTTTTTTTATTTGTCTCAAACAGTTTATATTTAATATAATTTTTTATTTATAATATTACCGACAAAAAATTGATATTCAAATTTAAAAAAAACAAAAATACTTATTCGCAAGATATCTAAAATATATTTATTTTTTTTTAAATTGTTGGAAAAGAATTATTATTATTATATTATTATAATTTTATACAACTATGAGATACTATTATACTTTATTGATACACTAGTATATCAATTAATTTATAACCAAAAAATTAAATTAAATTAAATTAAATTAACTTCAAATCAAATATCATATTAATATATTTGGAAAAAAAAATTTACAATAAATTTGTAGTATTGAATCAATAAATTTATATTAAAGTTTTTTTGGCCAATAATTTTTTTTTGGTGTTCAAATCATACCGTGTAGTTATAGAAATAAATAATTAAATTCAAAAAATAATAATGAATAATTTATTGATTTTTAATAATAATAATAATTATTGGATATTTGTTTTTTTTAAAAAAGATTGAATTGATTGACCCCCAAAAAAACTGAACGATTGAAGACAACTACTACTACCACTTGGGTGTTGCTGTGGTGGTGATGGTATGAATGAAGATAAAACAGTTTGCGGTTGTTTAGGCGGGGGTTGGGGTGGAGTGGGGGCGCCGTCCGTCCGTTTTTTTTAAGGCCCGCCGGCAGCGCCGGCCTGTTGTGCCTGTTGTGCCTGAGTGGCAGCCCTGCGGGCGGCCTCTGTTCGGAGCAAATCTTTTTTCAACTGTTTGCGGGCAATGTATTGCTTGAGGACATTGGTTTTTGGCGGATGTGTCAGCGCTTGGTGTCTGCCTCTTATATACATTGGCAATGCCACAATTTGTTGATAATTGAACCGATTTTGTAAGGCAGCTATCATAACATTGATCATCTGTTTGGGCTCATCCATGTTGGACCTGTATTTATATAGTTTTTTAAATACAGTAACAAACAAACAATTGGTTGATATTTTATAATATAATAATATGTGTTATTAATGGGTTAGGGATCCCTTACCATTCGGGATTTGCATACTCAAAGTCAACGGCACTGATCTTTGCAAGCATATCCGGATTGGAGGTCTCCCAGAACGGTGCATAACCGGCCAACATTTGGTATAGTATGACACCACAACTACAGTATATATATATATATATATATCAATAATTTTCAATAAGTTTAACAACAACTACAACAACTAACTAACTAACTAACAAACCTCCAGATATCAAAATCGGTATCATAGGGATTATGATTGATAGCTTCGGGCGGCTGATACATAACAGTACCGGCACGGCCATGATTGTGCCGTACATAGGCCAGGCCTTGCAGTAGTCGGCGACAGCTGAGACCAAAGTCGGCAATCTTGTAGATCTGTACGCCCTTGTACTGGACGAGTACGTTGTGCGGCTTGAGATCCCGATGCAAATAGCCTCTATCGTGCATATGATTGACACCATCGAGTATCTGGCAGATAGCAATGGCCGCCTCATCGATATTCAGATACTCTTTACGAGTAATCTCTTGCATCAGATCGCCGCCAGTGGCCAATTCGTACATATTGTAGACAACATCGCCTTCGGTAATCGAATCGAACAGATTGACCAGATTTAGATGGCCGTGAGCCGACAATGCCATACAGATATCGCGTTCGTCCTCCTGGGCACGCTTTTTGTCGGCCGCGTTGTTGATCTTAGCGGCCAATTCCAGATTCCTTCCCTTATGTATACAACGGGTGACTATACCGAACCCGCCTTTGCCTAACTCTTCTTTCTGTGTGTATTCGTTCTGATATTTTCGGGTATCGTCTCCCGGATTAGCCACCGAAAAGTTTGGATTCATTTCCCAAAGATAATTCTGCTGATAGTTACTACTACTACTACTGGACGACATGTTTTGTTTATCTTCTTCTTCTTATTCTTCTTATTCTTCTAAGTCTATAATTTTTTGATGATTTTTATTGTTGTTTGATTTAATAACTGATTTTTTTAATTTGTTGATTTGTTTTAATTAATTTAAATATTTTATTCATTTGTTTTTTTTAATTATAATTAATTATTATTATGTATTAATTCACGCGCTGTCGCGTATCGCGCGTCGCGCGCGCGACTTATTATTACTATTATTGTCTACTAATTTAGTATTAATTATTATATATGTTATTATTATATTAATATATTATTAATAGAAATTGCAATTCAATAGAATTTTTTTCCATTGAATACTATATTAGAGAAACTATAGATTTATTTATTTTATTTTTTTGTTATGAAAGTTAATAATAATAATAACACAATTTATTGAATTTAAATTAATTAATTTGTTTTATTGAATTGTGTGTCAACTGTTGTATCAATAGTATCACTAATATATATATCAATTGTATATATATATTTAAAAAAAAAGTTTGTCCACAAAAATAATACTAAATCAACAAAAAATAAATAATAAAATTTTAAAAAATGTTGGAAACATTTGCCGCTTTAAGCAAACTTTTGCGTTACCGTAGACTACATATTGACGGTACGGTATTTCGTCTACATTGTACACTAACAGTGATAATATTGATGACATTTTGTCTAATAAATTCAACAAAACTATTGGTTGGCGAACCCATTGATTGCGAATCTAGTGGCGAAACAGTAGATAAATCTACGCTAAATATGTACTGTTTTATTGGTTCAACCTATTCAATAGATCCCGATCTCTACGCCGCCGATACCGATGTCGGTATCTACAGAGGACTGGGTACACATCAATCACGGCAACTGATCTACCATTACTACTATCAATGGGTTTGGTTTATGTTGTTTATGCAATCAATCTTTTTCTACTTTCCTCGTTGGCTATGGAAGTGCTTCGAACAGAATAAGATGTCGGCACTGGTATCTGATTTGAATTATTTTTCATCCGATAGTCAAGCAATCGATAGGAAAGTCGACCTAATTGTCGAATATCTATATAAAACCAATGGTATTAACGATTGGTATGCCATGAAGTACTGGTTCTGTGAGATCCTATCCCTATTGAATGTAATCCTTCAGATTGTTGTCAACGATATGTTTTTGTGCCATCAGTTCAACGATTATGGTTTCCGTTTGTTTCGCCATTTGACTGGCGATCCTACTGTCAAAGTGGATCCCATGACTAAAGTTAGTAAATAATTATTAAAATTGTTTTATAATTTATAAATTATTTTTTTTTAAAACTAAATAATTATATTTATTTATAACAGATATTTCCGATTCTAAGCAAATGTGAATTCAAACGATTCGGGGCTACGGGTAGTGTGGAAACCATTGATGCCTTATGTGTCCTATCCGTCAATATATTCAACCAAAAGATCTATCTGTTCCTATGGTTTTGGTACTACTTCTTGGCGATTGTAACCAGTTTTGTGGTAGCATTTCGTCTGGTAATCATTTGTTGTCCACAATTTCGTTATTATGTTTGTCGCCATCGGTTCGAGTTATGTCTGGATAATAGTGACAATCAAATCAATCTTCTGATTTCACGTCTATATCTCGGAAATTGGTTTATATTATATCTGGTATTTAAAAAAAAACTTTTTTTTTGTTTGAATTTATATATATATTTTTAAAAAAATATTTAAATTATTTTTTTAATTAATTTATTTTTTTAGTTAACTCACAATATTGAACCCATAGTTTCGGCTAAACTTCTGGAAAAGTTATGTCGAAAATTTCAATTAAATGTCGATTCAAATAGCAGTATAGTTGATATCGATAATAATAATAATAATAATAATAACAAAATAGTAGTTGATATCAATAACAATCAAACATCCGTTTAAACAATTTTCATAATTAATTAATAATATTTTTTTTTTAATGTATAATATTATTCAATTGAATTGTACTGTACATGTATTTAATATTTATTATATAATATTGAATTAATTATTATTATTAATATATATTTTTATATTTACTGTATATAACATTTACAGTATTATAACTTTATATTATAGTTTATTTATTTTATGTGTGTATAAAAAATTAAATATATTTATAATAACTAATTAAAAATTAATTTAATTTTTATGTAAATGTTTATCAATGATATCTTTAGCGATAATGACTTTCATTATTTCATTGGTTCCCTCAAGAATCCGATGAACTCTTGTATCTCTTAATAACTGTTCAATTGGATAGTCTTTCAAATAGCCATAACCTATTGAAATAAAAAAAAAAGTTAATTAATTTTTGTATAATTAGTCAATTATGACAAACAAAACAAAAACCAAACCTCCAAACAATTGAAGACATCTATCGATAATATTGTGACACTTTTCGGTGGCCAACAGTTTAGACATTGCGCACAAAGTGCTGACCGGTATTTGTGTTGAATTTTCATCGGAAATATCACTTGTATTTGTTGTCAATTGTTTATCATCGATAGCTTTGGCAGCCATTCGGACGGATAGCCTGGAGGCCAACAATTCGGCTGACATCGAGGCTAACTCGAAACGACTATTTTGAAAGTCGGCAATCGCCTGGCCAAACTGTTTACGATCGCACGTATACTTCAATGTATCTTCCAGTGCCCACTGGGCGCCTCCCAGCGAACACGATGCTATATTAACTCGGCCGCCATTGATGCCGCTCATGGCTATATTAAAACCGTAACCTTCTTTGCCTAACAGATTGCTAGCCGAAACCCGACAGTCCTCGAGTATTACTTGACGAGTCGGTTGACTATTCCAACCGAGTTTCGACTCTTTAATACCGAAACTCAATCCGGGACTACCTTTTTCAACAATAAAACACGATATACCCTTAGAACCGGTACCGCCGGTTCGGGCCATTACTAGAAATATATCACTTTCGCCGCCACCGCTTATAAAACTTTTAGTGCCGTTTACTAAACAAAACAAAAAATAATAATATAATTATTATTATTATAAAAATTATTGTATTAATTAAATAATTATAAAAAATTTTTTAGTACATATATAGTAGTCGTTTGATTTATCGGCTTTTGTTTGCAGATTTGCCGCATCGGAACCGGCATTTGGTTCGGTTAGACAATACGAACCCAATTTGTTCATTGAGACCAAATCGGGTACATATGACCCGACTTGACGGTCGTCACCAAATTGGGCTATCATTGCGCAGACCATATTGTGTATGGATAACAAAGCCGTTGTCGACACACATCCCTGGGCCAGTGCCTCGATAACGATTGATGTGTCCAATCGTGTCAGTCCTGTACCTCCTTTTTCGGCCGGCGTATAGATTCCGCCGAAACCCAATCGGGCAGCTTTACGTAGCTTATCGATGGCCAGATATTCATTTTGATCCCATTCCTTCATATGCGGCCGAAACTCGTTGACAGCAAACTGATAGGCCATCGACTGTAGTTCCCTTTGTTCTTCATTCAGACCGATTGACGGATCAATTAACGAATTGTGTGAATATTCATTGAATTCTCTGCTAATTATTATTTTAATGTTTTTACTTAAATGTTTCACAGAATTTGGTTTGAATTTTATTAATACTGAAAACATATTTATTTATTATTATTTTTTTGTTAATTTATTTATTCACTATTACTACTAATATAGTCTATTAGTAATAAAATAATAATAATAATAATAATAATTTGCTTATAAGTTATTAGTAAGTATAATACACTAATCAAAACAATTAGTTAACACATTTTTTTTTATAAGTTTAAACTATAATATTAATTTTATTAGATAAACATTGTGTTTGTAAATACACAGTTAAATAAAATTATTTAATAAACTACAATATGTTTAATGAAATATGAAATTTTAATAATAATAATAAATTAATTTTTTAAAAAACAAATTAATTGTAGCAAAAAAATATACTGTACGTGTGTATGTATGAAAAATTGTCAATTATATTATTATTATTATTATTATTATTATTTGTTAAATGAGTATTATATACCAGTAAATATCCTTGACAATTTTTCAATTTATTTTTTTGTTGAAAAATACCTCACAGTTAGTCTATAGTCGATACTATCATAACCTTGATTATTATATATATATATGATTAAACTTGTTTGCCATAATTTATTTAGTGTATTATCTTTGAATTGTAGATTTTCATCTTATATATATATGATACAAAAATTGTTCAAGGTGATTTTAGACTTTAAATTTGGTCATTTAATAATTAAACTATATAAATTAGTTATTTATTTATAAAAAAAAATTAATTTATTGACTATGAATTAAGTTAAGTGAATGAACTTAATAACAATAAAAATTTATTAATTAAAAATTTTTTATTTTAATAGTTTTCCATATGTTTTGTATTATGTAAATGCAAATTTTGATTGATAAATAATATATGTAATAAAATTATTTGATTTTTTAAAATTCAAAATATATCAAATACTTATAAAATATATATATATAATTGTGATATATATATTTTTTAATAATTAGTACCAAAAAAAGTTAACAAAAATATTAAATCATAACTAATTTGTGATTTTTGTTTGTTTGTTATCAATGATTTTTTTTAATAAATATTATATGATAATTAATTATAAAAATATATCATAATTTGAGTTCAATATTACATAACTGTATAACCATTTTAAGTGTTACTACTCTAACTAATATACAGTATATATTGTATTTATAAATATTAATAAACATTAATTATAGAAATACCAAACAATTTCAAAATATTTAAATTAAATAAAATCAATAAATAATTTTTATTATTTACTAATTTTTTTTAAATTGTATATTTAAATATAAAAGTTGCAAAATTAAAAAAATAATAATAATACTTAATTATACTGCAATTAATTATATTATTTAGAAAATAATAATAAATAAGATATTTTTTATACTTTTAATTATTATTATTTGTATAATTTAAAATAAAACTCGTAAAATAAAATTTTTTAAAATTGATAATAAAGATACTTTTAATAAAATACTTGAAAATAATTTATATTTAGATATATACTGTATTTCACTTAAATAAGTAATAATTTAATTATCAAAAAATAGACTTAAATTCTTAAACATTTTTTTGGTGCCATTTTATACAAAAAATATTCTCACTTTCTATAAGTTTTTAATTTACTTATCAATTAATTGCCGACTATTTTATGGGTCAATATTTTATTGACTTAAATCCCTATACAGTATAGATAGCACTGACCATAGCTTTAATGCCTATTACAGTACAACATATAAACTCTAATATTAATTTACAAATGTATAATAAAAATCTCAATAATTAAAAATAAAATATTTTTGAAAAATTACAATAATTTTTTGTTGTTGATGTATTGGTACGCCTAATAAATAATTAGGCCGTAAAAAAACTCAAACTTATATTTATTACATAATATTTAATAATAAATAATTTTTTTTAATAACTTATTAATTAATATATCAAAACTTATTACACATATTAAGAAAACTTTTTTTTTTTAAACAAAAATACCAATACATGTATTATAAATACATTGTACAAGCATTTTGATTGGCTATTCGATTGTGCGACTCTAAGCCAATCAGCGATTGAATTGGAAAATCAATTTTTATTTTGAAATCACATTTTATTTTTATATACAAACAAAAAACATTGCAATACGTTATGAGATATTTATTATGTTTGTGTGTGTTATCACCGATTGTCACCATTTAGTTGATCCCAAACACTTTAAACACGTATAACTAAGACACACACACACACATTGATAACAATGCAAAATAATGGCCAAATGCGGTCACGACTACCGCTACCAAAGTCGACATTCAAGGCTTGTTCGTCGTCGTCATCGGCATCTGTTTTGGTGTCCACTTCATCGTCAGTACATCCGCTAAGACCACATCCCTATGTATGTACACCAATGAGACCGACACTTATGAAATTGGATCCGATGGGATCAGCTCTGCGACCGACGCTAATGCAATTGGATCCGATGGGATCAGTTCCGCGACCTCTCACGACAACAACTCACACCCTAAACGATTCACAACTGGAAGAATATAGACTTCGTTGTCAACAACTAGAGGCCGAAAACCAAAGACTTAAGACTACACTAAATGATGACAACAACAACAACAACAAACTTGTAGATGAATATCGACAACAAATTAGACAACTAGAGGATCAATTGGCACACCAGAAGACTGTGAAGGCATCGCTGGAGGAGAAGACATTGAAAGACAGCCAAAAGTCGAAAATCACATCAAAACCTGATGACAATGACATCAATAACTATCGTATCATACATTTGAAACAAAATCCATTGTCGATGACAATCGCTGAACGTAACGAAGAGTTCAGACGATTGGTCGACGAAAATGAAAGACTTGAACAACGATTGCAACTGTTAGAGTCGGGATCCGATGCCGACATTACTCGACAGATAGACGAAGGTATCAAATATAGTCAAGAGTTGGACAAACTGAAGAAACAGTTGACAAGCGCTGAGAAACGTCAGCAGAATATTATCGATGCGTTCAAGAAAACTAGTAAAGAGTTTCGTGAGGTTTGCTATCGGCTGACGGGATTCAAGATCGGTATTATTATTATTTTGTTGTCTTTTAATATTCAACTAATTTCGGGATCTATTTCTTTATCTCTCTCTCTCTCTTTTATTTTTGATGATAATTTGAAGATATGTTGAAACAAAATAAATACCGATTGACACATATGTACGCCGACTCGCCCGATGATGAACTACTGTTCGAGTGCGATACCGATCGTACCATTAAAATCATGGAAAATCAATACTCGGATAAACTACAGGAATCGGTTAATACCTATTTGACGGCTCACGACAGTTATCCGGCATTTTTGGCTTCACTGACACTCGACTTGTTTCATAAACAAACTATTGTTTGATTTTTATACAAAAAAAAAATAATTTCATTAATTCATTCAATTTATTCAAATATATAGATTAGATATTTATTTATAAAAAATGAAAGATTTAGTAATTAAAAACAATTTATTTCCAAATTATATTATTATTATTATTAGTAGTATTGTTGGGATCAATTGGTAGTGATCTCCGATGATTTTTGCAATCCTTTTTGCAATAGTTCTATAAGAATAGGATAAACGGATGCAAACGATTTGCCATCTGATTGACGGATAGTCTTGATGTACGACTCCAATGAATTCCTTAATTAATTGAAATAATAATAATAATAATCATTAAAACTATATTATCGATCAAAAAATCCTATTATTATTACTTAATTAATGTCAATCTTTCCATATCATCCGTGTGCTGATCCAACCATTTGTTATATCTGGTTAGTGACCAATTCATATAATGATGGGCACTCTTGATCTCATTGGGCGCATAGTTAGAGATCAGAAACTGTATGATCAGCGGATAGGCTATCAGATCGCCGATAGCGCACGATTTGGCTATTGATTCGGGTGTCTGAATCAACAACGGTTTGAACGACCGGAGGACACGATATTGGCGTCCGAGTCGTGATATCGGCTGACAAAGCGGTGTCAGAGCCATCTCTAACTGTGCAAAATCGGCAGCTATTATCATACGACCTCTACGGGACAGTGGCCTAACCAATGAGATATGTCTGAGAAATAGTTCGATCGTACGATTGGCCACTCGTTCGACGCTACGGTAATCACCCGCAAAAAAATACCGATAATTAAAAAATAAAATAATATTAATGACAATATTGTTGATTGTTTTTTACCATTTGTTAGTGACATCGCAATCGGGAAATTGGGACAAATAATCACTGGAAATACGGGCAATAAATGTCTGCAATTCTTTCATGTATTGCGAAGGTTTGACTTCATTATCATTGATGCCTGAATTGTCATCACTTTGTTGTTGTTTTTTTTTGTCCAAATAATTACCGGTAAATTACAAACAAACAAAAAATTAATTAATTAATTGTAATTAAATTATAATTTTAATTTTAAAAAACTTTTTTATCATTACTCGCTATAGTTTTCCGAATGCATTGTCAATAGAATAGCTTCGATGGCATCGCTTATACTATCAAACATCGGATTCAATGTATTGTACATTAGATTATCGATTGATGTCAACGATTGTTCAATTAATTTCAGATAATCGGGTGGACAGTTGGTTGTGGCCAATAGATTGGTAATTTTCAAGCGAAACATTTGCAATCTGTCGACAATTGTCGAGTTTAGCCGCTGACTGGCCGTAAACGAACCGATTACTTGTGTAGAATTACCGTCGGTCGATGACAATTGTTCCGATTTCAATACAAATAAGTTGATAGTTTTCGATACATTTTTGGCCACCGATTGACACAGTAGACTATCGCCACTGCTGGCCAGGAGTTCACCGCTAATATGTCGGACAATAAGTTTGATGTCTTTATCCGAGGGAACCGTTTGCAAGTATGCAGTGTTTGAGTCACTTGAAGTAGTAGTAGTGTTTGATCCGCTGTTGCCGTAAGACGATTCTTTGGCGTCGGCAAACACTTTGTTTACCGAATCAAATAGCAGTGACAGCGATCGTGATAGGTATGCACTTTCGAAAGCCTGAACCGATGACCGTAATATTCGTTCGGCATTTATTTCCCGATTCTCACGACCAATACGTTGCCATAGATTGCCGAGCGATTGGAGATAATTAGGAAATTCAGTTTCCAGTGCCTGACGTACTGCTTGCGATTCGTTAGCCGCTTTGCATAACTGTTCCGACAATGATTTTGTTGCGTATGTCCAGAAACTGTTCAGTCCATCAATGTTTCTATCAGTCAACTGATCCACAAGACTACTGTTGGTTAGCGAATCTCTTCCATCGTTAAGCAATTTGTATACCAAATTGATTTGACAAAACATATCAAATATCTTATCGATAAGTGTATCCAAGTTTTGTCTCAAAGTCGACCGCAATGTACTGCTCTGAGCGATGGTCATCGGTATGAAAACCCGGCCCGGCGTCGAACTCTTTGATTGGCTCAGTGCCGACGTATCCATTGCAGTGGCAATTGCTTTGCGTATTTGATTTTGTTTTTGATCGACAAGTTGTCCAACTTTTTCGTCCAAAACATTCAGATTATAGTATACTTGTAGTGCAGCAGCCAATTGCCCGTTCTCTCGATCGTCCAATGATTTGCTCATCAACTGATCCGTACGATCAATGAGTCTTAGCTTAAGTCCTCCAATAGATTTCAAATCCTGTTTGATAACATCAATCCTATGGAGACATCCATTGGTGTCTTGAGCTACAATATCTTCAATTTGACACAAATACTGACCAGCTTTGGTCAACTGTCGGGCCAATAGCGACGGTTCGGTTTCGACATCGAATGGACAATCGCGAAGACTTTTCAACAAATGTATAATACGTATCGATTGTCTTAACAGATCGCAGGTAACCTGCAGTCTATTCAGTACAGCAATCTGTCGGCAAATTGTATCGTACGGATCAACCAGTTTCGATCGGATCTTCTGGATCTGTGTCAATAGTAACTGGATTTTCATTTGCATCTGTTTGAGTACATCTTGCAATGTATCGACTTTGCACGACTGTACCAATAGATCGTCGTATTTGTTGGCAACTAACTGCTGAACACATTTGTTAAGGACATCTATGCCCGCCATTATCTTAATTATCTGTTCATTGATGGACATTGAATGAGCCGCACCTGTGGTGATAGTCTTTGAACTATCGTCAAAGCTATCGTCTAAAAACTGTTTATATAAGTCATCGCTAATCAATTGTCTGACCAATGGATCAGTTGTACTCAATGTCTGTACAATTGTCTTAACACTAGTAGTAGTAGTAGTAGTAGTAGTAGTGGTTTCGGCACTCATTTTTCACACACAAAAAATGTCTTATTTTTTTTAATGATAAATCACTTTATAGTTTAATATTAGTTTCAAATGATTAATTCAATTACACTCACAAATGATAATTAATTTTTTTTTTTTAAATAGTACAAGAAATACAAGAGTTTTTGGATCAACAAATCAATGAACACTTTTAATTAGTGGATCTGATGGGCGGTGAGACCAGAATGATGGCATCGCCTCTGACGAAGAGCATCGAAATGTGTCGTTTGTCAGTCTTATATACTTCTTCATAGGTTTCTTCATCGATTTCAACAGTGGTAACACTTTCTTCCACATCACTCAATACCATATTCAAGTGCTGATCGTAGGCGTGAAGACGACCGCGAAGTTCCCGTTCGTTTCGCATCTTAACGTAAATCCTTTCATCTAGACTCAGACGAATCAAATCCAACGGTTCTTCAACTGTTGCCGGAACTGACTGTTTGGTTGGTTGGTTGAAGACAGACCGGGTGTTCCCAAAACAAAATAAGAAGTGAAGACAAATAGTTATTATCACTTATTAATGAAGTCTTTTAAATGAATGAAAAACCAATCAATCGTCAAAATACCGGTTCATTTTCATCGGCCATCACGTGTGTTGAGATCAAACCAATTGAAGAAAGTTGACGATGACTTCAGGTGGTGACAATCAATGGACGTATAATCTTCGTGTATATATATCTTTCAATGAAATTAATTAATTTAAATCCAGATTTGTTTGAATCAATTGAATCAGATATGACAGACACACCAGTGATGTGGCGAACAATGCATTCAAAAACTAAATAAACATTTTATTGCATTTGTATTAACATTACGTACAAAATAATATTGTACTGTATTTTCATATATCATAAACACTATAGACATCTATAGGTTAAACAATAATAATAATTATATTAAAATACTGTAATTAAATAAGTATTTGAATGTAATTAATATTAAAGTTAATATTAATTTATATTAATTATAATTAAGTCAACAAAAAATTTAATAATATATATAGTTTTTTTTAAATATAAATTTTTATTTATTATATTACGATTATATACCGGTATATATGGGTGTAATGTAAACTTTAAAAATTTATTTATCATATAATTACGGTAATTGAAAGGCACTAAATAGTATTATAAAGTATTGTAAATTACGGGTAATTTAATTACCGGTAAATAATATATAATTAGCTAATCAATCGATGTCTATAAACATCTATAAATTAAATTGAATTAAATTGAAAAAAAAATTAATGATTATATATATATATATATATGAATGGTTTGGTTGGTGATGGCCACCAATTGGTTCATCAAATCGGCTTTTATTTTGATGGCCTGTCTTTGTCTGTATGTCTGGTGACCTAACTGTGACCCGTAGTCACTGACGACGCATAGCCACCCAATTGGCTCTTTTTTTCCAAGTCTTTGATTTCGATGATATCGCTTTTGAGTTTCAATTTCAAAATAATACGCTGAATATCGTCCCGATGGCCATTGTCGGCGATACCCATACGTTCGAGTGTCGAATCAGTCATACGGACCAACGATCGGCCAGTAATTTCGTTCTCGAGAAAGGCATTACCGTAGAGACCGTAGTACTGTTCGCAGTGACGTTTCATCCATTTCATAACGTCGGCATTGTTCCAGAAGAATACCGGTTTTGGTCGCTTTTCAGCCGAATTGGTGCCACAATTAGACCAATTGGTGATTGTTGTCGGCCGGCTAAGACTATTGGTATTGTTGTTGTTGTTCATTGTTGTCGCCGCTGCCGCCGTCGTCGGTCTATTAAGACTATTGGTCATTGAATTGGCCGCCGACGACTGCCGGCTAAGACTATTGGTCATCGAGTTAGCCGATGCCGCCGACAATTGTCTGTTACGGCTATTGGCCATTGCGTTTGTCGGAATGCCCGTCGGCTTCTTGTTTATCATTGATTTGTTGTTGTTGTTTAGCTGTCGCCAATTGTTTGACCAGTTTTTCCCGTTCCGATTCAATTAGCCGATCGATACTCTGATAGACCATCAAAACAAACAAAATCATGAATTAATTAAATGTCTTAAAAAATATATCAATCAATCAAACTAGTGGTACATCTAATGGTTTGTAAAAGTGATGAACAGTTTGCGATCCCAATAACATGGATAGCATAGCGCTAGTCATGTATGCTATATATTGAGACCATCGCAGACCATATGGCATATCCTATATGATAATCAATTGGGGGGATTGGATCTGATTGGGTGATCACTAATAACACACTATATTATATAAGATTTTATCAAAAAAGACTTGGATGAGAAACAAGACATGAAGACAACAACAACAACTATATTATAAAAGCCTATAAAAAAAACGATAACAAAAACTACAGTAATATTTAAGGCCTAATAATAACACAAAAAAGTGGCGACACTTGTCGATCACTTGTATAGATCTACTTATTCAAAGATGTCTATACTATAGGGTAGTAGAGGGTCTTAAGTGGTGAAGAGGAGGTCAAATTGTAATATCATTTAAAACATTACCACTTCAATGTCGACGGCCTGTTTGGCCACTGTCTGGGCGTACTTCTTGGTATAGACTTTATAAAAGTTAACTGAATTGAACTCCCAGTTGATCATCAAATACTCGATGAGAGCACCGCTGGCGAAGAATAGCGGCAAAAATGCATAGAAACCCAATTGTTTTCTTAACGGCCAGTTTCTTAAGATATAAGTGATTACCGCCGATGACGATCTGTTTAGGCGACCAATCATTTAAAGAGTAACTGATGACTGAGTCTCTCAAACAAACAACTGGTTTCTCCTCTCAAATGGCTAACACTGACAGACAAAGCGATTGTCATATTCATCAAAGAGTGGCACCACATGACAGATGTAACCATCAAACAGAAAACCAAACTTTAGGATCAACTCTTTAGGGATTTTTGTTTCGTTTTTTTGTTTGTTGGGATAAACTATTTATTTATTTAATTTTTTTAAAAACAAAAATTTAATAATCAATTATTGCAATTCATTGTAAATAATTATAAAATAATATAAATATAAAAAAACATCCAATTTATGAGTTATTATTAGTTTTAATAAAGAGTTTCAGTTTAGTTAATCGTGTTGTTCATCGAGTAGTTGGTCATCAAATTCGCCCTCATCTTCGGCCGACGCCTCCTGATATTGTTGATACTCGGAGACCAAGTCGCTCATATTGGACTCGGCTTCGGTAAACTCCATCTCATCCATACCTTCCCCGGTATACCAGTGAAGGAAAGCCTTTCGCCGGAACATAGCTATTGAATTGAAGAAGAGACAGAAAATAAAGTTATTATCTAAAGTTTTGGACATCATTTGTCAAATGATAAACCAATATATTACCATTAAATTGATCCGAAACTCGTTTGAACAGTTCCTGAATGGCAGTCGAATTGCCGATAAAAGTCGAGGCCATCTTAAGACCTTTTGGCGCAATGTCGCAGACGGCAGTCTTGACATTATTGGGTATCCATTCGACAAAATAACTGCTATTCTTGTTCTGGACGTTCAGCATCTGTTCGTCCACTTCTTTCATCGACATCCGTCCTCTGAATATAGTGGCCACAGTTAGATAGCGTCCGTGTCGTGGATCGCATGCGGCCATCATGTTCTTGGCGTCGAACATCTGTTGTGTCAGCTCGGGAACAGTCAACGCCCGATACATTTGTGAGCCACGAGATGTCAACGGAGCAAAACCAGTCATAAAAAAGTGCAATCGTGGAAAAGGAACCATATTTACGGCCAATTTACGCAAATCGGCATTCAATTGGCCGGGAAATCTCAGACAAGTCGTAACACCGGACATTGTAACCGAAACTAAATGATTGAGATCACCATAGGTTGGATTCGGTAGCTTAAGAGTACGGAAACAAATATCATAGAGAGCTTCGTTATCAATACAATAGGTTTCGTCTGTATTTTCGACCAATTGGTGGACAGATAGTGTGGCATTGTATGGTTCGACCACTGTATCGGATACTTTAGGTGACGGCATAACACTGAATGTATTCATTATACGATCGGGATATTCCTCACGAATCTTCGATATCAATAGAGTACCCATTCCTGAACCGGTTCCGCCACCGAGCGAATGGGCCAATTGAAAGCCTTGAAGACAGTCGCAACCTTCGGCCTCTTTGCGGACAACGTCCAGCACAGTGTCGACCAGTTCGGCGCCTTCCGTATAGTGACCTTTGGCCCAGTTATTGCCGGCACCGCTTTGGCCGAAAATATAGTTATCGGGACGGAACAGTTGGCCGAACGAACCCGATCTGACCGCGTCCATTGTTCCCGGTTCCAGATCCAGTAGTATAGCTCGCGGTACATACACACCCACTGTACATATCATATCATATATGTAATGATTAATATATATTTAATAAAACTGTCTCTTTTAAAAACAACCGGTAGAGCCGTGACATGTCGTATGTCATCGACACTACACGACTGTCCACTTACTCGACGCCTCGTTATAGTAGACATTGATTCTCTCCAATTGTAGATCACTGTCGCCATTGTATCGGCCGGTCGGGTCGATGCCGTGTTCATCGCTGATTACTTCCCAAAACTGATTGATTGATTGATTGGTTGGTTTATAAATATTAATATCAAATAACTTATGATAAAAAAAACTTTTTTAATTTTTATGGTCACAAACCTTAGCGCCGATCTGATTGCCGCACTGTCCGGCCTGAATGTGGACGATCTCACGCATCGTGTTTTTTACCGATTAATTTGTTGGTCAAAAAAAATATATCAAATATTAGCAGAGATGATGAACTCCTCAGTAGTAGACGTTTGGATCAGTTTTATGGACTTAAGAGGAGAGAGAGAGAGACTGAGAGACTAAAAGAGAGACAACGTCTTCAAACTTAACGTTGATTTTCAAGTTTGAAAGTTTCCAATAGTTATAGATTGATAGACAACCCGTTTGACTATTAGTTTTTAGTATTAAGTTTTTCATACATACAAACACATACACAATGAATGAGAGATCCGGTAGTTATTTGAGGCACAAAAATATTTTTCAAAAATATCATATTATATATTCAATATAATTATAAACTTAGAGTCAAAAAACTGGTTAAACGCTTATACAGTACACTGTGTATTATATACAGTATATAACTGACACCTATTAGAAATTATTTGTAGTTTTAGTTTTAAAATATTTAATTTTTTTTTTGTTTTTTTTTTGAAGTTTAATATTGCAATTAGTTTTTGCAGTTTATATATAGCCTTTAGGGGCTTATCTATCAATAATTTTGTTGTTGTTGTTGTTGTTGAAGACATACTAATAATTATTAGTATATATTTTTTTTTTGTTTGATGTTATATTACTCTAAATGTATAGAAAAACTTTATATAAAATAAAATTTTATAAATTTATGTTTATATAACATAAATAAAAACCAATTAAAGTAATTATTTAAATAGTTTTATATATATGCTGTCAATAATGCATATTATAATAATTATATAAATGTATTCAAATGTGTATAATAAATAAATTATATATAACAGACTAACAAATAATGATAATAATCAAAAAATAAAGTTTTTACTGTATTTTCTTGCAAATCATGGTTTAGTAGCAATAAACTTATTTTTCAATATATTTGTTGTTTTTATTTATTTATTTTTTTTTATATAGCATTTAAATATAATATAATACTATACCCTAATTGTTTGTTACAAATTAAGTGATACATATATTCAAGTTATTTATAAATTATAATATACTGTATATATAAATAATATCTAACTAAATATGTTATCAGATTTTTATGTATGTTTTTATTTTGTTTGTTTGTCTGGGGTTTTAAATTTTTTTTATATTTAATTTGTTAGAAATTTTTATTTTAAACTATTTTATTTTTGTGTGCATTTTTAAAAAATGCTACTAAACTTTTATAACTAACTGTATTATGATATATATATATATATATATATATCATAATATATATATATATATATATATATATATAATGATAATATACTGTAAAAATTATTAATGTTGTAAAAAAATCTAACATTTAAATTGTCTAATATTTATTAGAATATATAAATAAATGTTTTTTTTTATAAAAAATTAAAAATTCATATAAAAATTTGTTTGAAAATTATTGAATAAATTGTGTTCAAAGTTTACTATTAATAATAATACTAATAATTGTTTTAAACAATTATTATATCTGTCTGTCTGTATATAAGTTATATTTTTAAAGGAAAAATATTGTATATTTTTTGTTGAGGTAATAAATGCTATAATTATTTTTTTTGGATTTTTTTTGGTTTAAATATAAAATTTATATAATATTTTTATCAAAAAAAAAAATATCGTAAATACTGTTTAATACAGTATATATATATATAGTGTATATAAACTGGTATTACATAAATAAAATACCGGTATATATATGAAATCAAATGTGATTTATATTAGTTTTTTTTCAATCCCTTTAAGCAGTTTCTGGCTCTTCCTGATCGTCAAACTCGCCCTCATCTTCAGCGGTCGCTTCTTGATATTGTTGATACTCGGAGACCAAGTCGTTCATATTGGACTCGGCTTCGGTAAACTCCATCTCATCCATACCTTCACCGGTATACCAGTGAAGGAAAGCCTTTCGCCGGAACATAGCTATTGAATTATTTACAGAAAAAATAAAATTAATAAATAAAATAAACGACAAATTGTTTTAAATACAATATAATAGGAAATTATATATAAATCAGGATTGCTAAGGGGGGGGGGTAGGGTAAGACCTCTTACCCCACTGAGAATTTATAGGGAATTTAATGGGAATCTAGTAGGAATTTAGTGGGAATTTAGTGGGAATTTAGAGGGAATTTAGTAGGAATTTAGTGGAAATTTAGTGGGAATTTAGTGGGAAGTTATTGGCAAGTTATTAGGAATTTAGTGGGAATTTACTCAAATTTGGCAAAAATTGTCGTTTAAAAATGCACCCTAATGTTCACCCCCTATACCCCCACCAAACTTTTTCGAGTTTTTTGCCATTTTATCGCACCCTATACCCCCTCTGAAATCGAAAATCTTTAGCAACCCTTATATAAATAATATATTAAACATAATATACAGTATATGAAACAAACCGGTAAACTGTTCCGATATTCGTTTGAATAGCTCCTGAATGGCCGTCGAGTTACCGATAAAAGTGGCCGACATTTTCAGACCACGGGGTGGTATATCACAGACGGCTGTCTTGACATTATTGGGTATCCATTCGACAAAATAACTGCTATTCTTGTTCTGGACGTTCAACATCTGTTCATCGACTTCTTTCATCGACATCCGTCCTCTGAATATAGTGGCCACAGTTAGATAGCGTCCGTGTCGTGGATCGCATGCGGCCATCATGTTCTTGGCGTCGAACATCTGTTGTGTCAGTTCGGGAACAGTTAGGGCCCGATATTGTTGCGATCCTCTGGCTGTTAGCGGTGCAAAACCGGGCATAAAAAAGTGCAATCGCGGAAACGGAACCATATTTACGGCCAATTTACGCAAATCGGCATTCAATTGGCCGGGAAATCTCAGACAAGTGGTCACACCGGACATTGTTACCGAAACTAAATGATTGAGATCACCGTAGGTCGGTGTTGTCAGTTTCAATGTACGGAAACAGATGTCATACAAGGCTTCGTTATCAATACAATAGGTTTCGTCGGTATTTTCGACCAATTGGTGGACAGATAGTGTGGCATTGTATGGTTCGACCACTGTATCGGATACTTTCGGCGACGGCATAACACTGAATGTATTCATTATACGATCGGGATATTCTTCGCGAATCTTCGATATCAATAGAGTACCCATTCCTGAACCGGTTCCGCCACCGAGCGAATGGGCCAATTGAAAGCCTTGAAGACAGTCGCAACCTTCGGCCTCTTTGCGGACAACGTCCAGCACAGTGTCGACCAGTTCGGCGCCTTCCGTATAGTGACCTTTGGCCCAATTGTTGCCGGCACCGCTTTGGCCGAAAATAAAGTTATCCGGACGGAACAGTGCACCGAAAGTACCCGATCTAACCGAATCCATAGTTCCCGGTTCCAGATCCAGTAGTATAGCTCGCGGCACATATTTTCCCACTAAATATTGTTTGATTTTTTTTTATAAAATATAATAATTGAATAATTATTTTTAAAAAAATTATTAGTATTCCTATTATTATTTTAAATGGTTTAATAGTAATTATTTTATATAAACACTTATATATTATATAATATGATTTTTTTTGTTTAGTATTTTTTCTAATTTATATAAAAAAAAAATTTAAATCATAGTATAATTTATAAACAAAATTATTTAATTATACTGTATCTTATTATTTGGTTATATCTAATGTATTTAAATATGACTTTATATGGTTATGACTTATATAAAGTTTATACAGTATTATAAACTGTATATTGATTTGTGTATTGTAGACATGATATCAAAAAAATTTTTTGTATAATATTATAATATTCATTAAAATCATATTATTATTATTATTATTATTATTTTGTTGCAAATTATATCTTTATTTTTTTCCAAACAAAAAAATAATTCAATATTAGTTTTTAAAATTATAATAATTTTTTTAAATTGTAAGATTTTTTAATTACAGATATTGTATAATGTATTTTGAATTTTAAAGTTAATTATTATTTAACTTTAAAATTTATTAATTTTTTCAAATATATAATATTTTTTTTAGGTATATATATATACTATCTATCTAGAATAAACTAATCAAGCGTATATAATAATATTCATATACCTATTAATTAATTAATTATTAATTATTATAATAGATATAATACTATATTATCATTAGAAATAATGAGGTAAATCACCTCAAACTTTAAGTTAAACTTTTTTTTTGTTTTTTTTGTTTTTTTTAAATGAATAAATTGAATTCAATTGAATCACTCCCTTATATGGGTAGGAATTAGTATAGAGTATAGTATAGTATAGATAAACAACATTTGTATAAATAAAATTTCAACGCCTAATACTTAAATAATATTTTTTTATTATTATTAAATAATAAAAGATTAAATGAAGCAAATGTTAATCTAAAAACCATTTAATATATTAAAAAAACTTGAAAAACAAGTATTTCATTAACCAAACAAACTATTAGTTATTTTGTTATTTTTTTGAAAAAAATCAATTTTAATGAATGAAAACTTTTTATTTTTTTTTTAATTTTTAAATCACGTAAAGTCTATAGACTATAGAGTAATACCTTATATGGAGAAGTCATTGCATTTTTTTTCTCTCTCTCTCTCTCTTTCTCTCTCTCTCTCTCTCTCTCTCTCTCTCTCTATCTATCTATCTATCTATCTATCTCTTACTTCACTCACCCACTCATTAAACATTGACTTAAATGTGAGATTTTTTTTTTAAAATAAAATAATTTTCTCAATTTGGCCACAAAACTGACACATCATTATGTAATATATTTAAGCATTTCGGTCGACTTTCGGCCAATTTTTTCTGTTTTTTTTGTGGATCACTTACCCGAAGCTTCGTTATAGTAGACATTGATTCTCTCCAATTGATTACGACTGTCGCCGTGATAGGTGCCGGTCGGGTCTATGCCGTGTTCATCGCTGATGACTTCCCAAAACTACATACAAATTATATTTAAATTTTATATTTAAAAAAATCAATAAAAACAATGGTATTATCAAATTGATGGTAATATCGGGTATAACCTTAGCGCCGATCTGATTGCCGCACTGTCCGGCCTGGATGTGGACTATCTCACGCATTGTTAGTTAGTTTTTTTTTTTAAAGATAACAATAAACTGATTTAAATAAACTTTAAATTATATAACAGGTGTTACCAAACTATAAAACACACAAACAGTTAGTGATAGTTAAGAGTTTAGTTCAGATGAAAGACAACAAACAGATATCTTTGGGAAAAAAAAGTTTTGTCTAAAAAACTTTTTTTCCCCCCTAAAGGACTGGTATTTAATATATAACCAGTGCTGATGTCATAGCACTCGGCCAACCAATGATTTAAAATGAATGAAACAAATTGTTAGTTAGTTTTAATATTATTATTATTATTATATGAGAACTAATTTATATATCCATAATAAGTAGTCTATGTGTGTGTGTACTAGTTTAGCACAAACAACACGGAGGACAGGTAGGTGTGTGGGGGGGTTTGGCTAAGACACCCACCCGTTCCCAGTTTCGGACAATTAAAAGTAATAAAAAAAAAGCATAACATTATTATACAGTTTATTTTAGTCACGTTATGTATGTTAGAGTTATTATACTGTGTAATAATAAATAGCATTGACTAATTACTGTTGAAATATTATCCTGGACATTGTCTATATCTAATGCTAATTAAAAGTTTAAATTTTTAGTAATATAGTTACACAGTTAACTTTACGCTAAGCAAGGTAACTTTAAAGTATACAGTTACCTAATACTAGGTAAGTTATATTTAAAGTACCCTGGCTAAAGCATTACATAATATTACTCAAATTAAAACTTTTTAAGTGGCGTAAACTGTATATATATATATATATATATATATATATATATATATATATATATTACAAATATGTAAAACAATTTTAGTAAAACAAAAATTAAAGTTAATTAATACAATAGATATAGATTTTTGAAATAAATAATCTAGGTAAAAAAACATTTTGTTTAATAAATAAAAAATGATTATTTATTTATTATTTTTATATACAATATAAATAATTTTCTACAATATATTACTAATAATAGCTAATATACTGTAGAGAAAATGTAGTAATAATTTTCAGGGGAGGGGAGGGGAGGGGGGAGTTATATACAGTATAGACCCAATGTATTTGGTAAGCATAGACAATGACAACAACAACAACATTGCATTTACATTAACAACAATAACAATACAAATATTATTAATAATAAAAACTTCAATTGAATTGTCATTTAAATAGTAATTACTTTTAAAAAATAAAAAAGTTTTTATTTGTGTTGAATTAACCAAACATTTTGAATACATTTCATATACACGCATATGTGATGACCAGTTTCAGGTGATAATACCATTGACATCAATCTCAACACTATAGTGTCCACACAGATATATCTTCATCATCACCAATCAATCAGATCAGCTGAAGATATATGGCTGGCTATCATCAGAACGAACGGCTGAAGAAGTTGGACGTAATTGAACAGCAATTATGTCAGTCGATACAGTCGGCTTCGGCCGCATTGGCCGAACTGGGCAAAGACAAGCCAAGTATCAAACAAGTGGAGACACAGAGTACACAGTTTCTGAAAGCCCTGGAATCGATTGACAACGATATTAGCAAACAGATCCAGTACTTGACACGGGTTAGTACTGGTCAGGCGCACGAAGGATCCAGTTATGCGTCGATGAAAGTCAATCATATGGCTTGGCATCGGTTGGAACATTCGAGGACACGGCTGAACGATTTGGACAGACTTCGGGTCCAGCATCAGCTACAACATCAACATCATCAGCAACAGCAACAACAACCACCACCACAACAACAACCACAACAATAGTCTTTCAAAAACATTTAACTAAACATTTTTATTGGTCACTAAAAAAATTTGATAATTAATAAAAAAAAAACAAAAGATATTTTTAATTCGTCGTCTTCTTGGTCGTCGTCGTCCGTCTATCTGTTCTTCTTTTTCATCTGTTTATTGTTGTCCAACTCCTGGTTGTATTGATCGATCAGCTGTTGTACGACATCGGCTCTGGCCGGCGAATATCGGCAATACTCCATCGAGTATTCGCCTTTGCCTTGAGTTGCCGATCGTAGTTCAGTAGCGAAACCAAACATATCGTTCAATGGTATCTGTGGCGGTGGTAATCAAATCAAAAGAGATAATCAAAGAGTTTGGTTAAAGATTAGACATTAATAAAAACAAGACCTCAGCGTTGATTGTAAACCAATTGTTGTTGTCGTCAGTGGACAACAGTACTCCCGATCGTCGCGATACGTGGCCAATGATGTCGCCTTGAAATTCGGACGGACAGCTAACTTCGACATTCATAATCGGTTCCAATATCTGCCATTTGCCCATTTCGTACGTCTGGCGCATAGCTCCCTGAGCCGCCGACATGAATGCAATATCGTTGGAGTCGACACAATGATGTTTGCCGTCCTGCAGCCGAAACTTGATGCCGACCACCTTATGGCCAGTCAGCGGCCCATTCAGACACATCTGTTCGAAACCTTTGCGAATCGATGGTACAAAATGTTTCGGTATTCCCGTTCCAGTTGTCTCATCGGAGAATACATTGTTTGTATTGTTATCGGTTGGCAACGGTTCGACCACTCCTTGAACGCAACCGTATTGACCGGCGCCGCCGCTTTGTTTTTTATGCAGATAATCAAACTGACACGACCTCTGTATAGTCTCTCTGAAGGCTACTTTAGGTTTGCCCAACTGTACCGGACAATTGTACTCCCGTTCCATACGTTGGCCATAGATTTCCAGATGCAGTTCACCCATACCCGACACAATCGTCTCTTTACTTTCGTCGTCCCATTGCGTATGAAATGTTGGATCTTCTTTACAGAATCGGGTTAAAGCTTTCATAAAGTTATCCATTGTATCTTTGCTGACGGCTTTCATCGACATCGATATGACCGGTTCGGGTACATAGATCGACTCCATCGATAGACGGGAATCTTTGTCGATTACAAACGTATCACCGCTGGCACAGTCGACACCGAACAGTGCGCATATATCGCCGGCCAACGCTTCGTCAATCTCTTGCATTTCGCTTGAATGCATTCGCACCAAACGGGATACCTTAACCTTTCGGCCGGTTCGGGTATTGTAGATATAGGTACCCTTTCGCAACATTCCCTGATAGACGCGCATATAGGTTAGCTGACCAAAACGGCCGGCTTCCAGTTTGAAGGCCAGACCGACAAACTGATTACGATCGCTGCGTTCGGGATTCATCAACACTTTGGCCGGCGGCGCCGTTTCGCTAGTCTGGAGCAATGCATAGTTGCTGACTTCGGCCGGATTCGGCAGATACTGGACAACAGCGTCGAGTAAGTGTTGGACGCCTTTGTTTTTCAGAGCGCTTCCAGTAAATACCGGTATAAACTTCTGGGCTAAACACGACCGACGAATTGCTTCCTAATTTCATAATAATAATAATTATTATTACGATATAAATGTCTTTTAAAACAAACAAAAAAACCTCAATCTGTTGTTCATTCGGTTGTTTTTCTTCGAGAAACATATCACCCAAAATGTCATCACAATTGGTTACACATTCAATCAACTCTTGTCTCTTGGATTCCACTTCATCGGCCATATCTTTGGGTACATCTGCTTGACGTATGGTTTGACTTTTGAGATAACAAACAAAACAAAAAAAAGACAATAAGTTTTGATAAGATATGGTATCAATCAATCAATTCAAATCAAGACAAACCCGTTGTCGCCTTCAAAATAATAGGCCTTTCGATGGATAAGATCGACAATACCGGTATGTTTGGACTCGAGACCAATGGGTATATTGACAAACGCAGCGTTCAGACCGAGTTTCTGGCGAATCTGATGGATAACCCGATTATGATTGGCTGCCAATCGGTCCAATTTATTGATGAATGCAATACAGGGTACGTCGTAGCGTTTCATTTGGCGGGTAACGGTCATTGTCTGCGATTGGACACCGCCGACACCGCACAATACTAGTACAGCACCGTCGAGTACGCGCAAAGCTCGTTCAACTTCGACCGTGAAATCGACGTGACCGGGCGTATCGATAATGTTGATGGCCGTCGATCGCCAATTAACGTGAGTGGCCGCCGATTTGATTGTAATCCCTCGCTGGCGCTCCAACTCCATCGAGTCCATTGTGGCCCCGATCTGATCCTTACCGCGGACTTCGTGCATCTCATGTATCCGACCCGTATAGTAGAGTACACGTTCGGTCAGCGTTGTCTTACCGCTGTCGATGTGCGCCGATATACCAATATTGCGGATATTTTCCACTTGTTTGTGTACCGATTGATCGCCACCGCCGCCGGGGCCGCCATTGCCACCACCACTACCACCGACAACACTAGCGTAGTGTCTCTTCAAGACATTTCTCTGTCAATTAATTAATTAGTTATTTTTTTTTTGATGATAATATCCATAAACTTCATCGTCATTGACAATACCTTTAAGATCTTATGGTAGTCTTTGTGATGAATCAATTGTCGGTATAGTCTTAAAGTCGTATAAGAAGTTTCAAGAAGTTTCATCCTCTCTCTCTCTCTCTCATCAATCAATCCAATGGTGTGTTTCAATGGATGGATAAAATTGGATCCAATTGGTGACTATATGACTGTCATTAAAACATAATTTAATATTTTTTTTAATAAAAAGCATCTAGTTAATATATATTATTATTATTATTACCGGTAAATGATAATTGCAAATATATTTATTAAATAATCATCATGCACACTTTTTTTTTTAATTTAAAAAATAATAAACATGTATAAAATAATATTAATAATAATAATCATAAACAACGTTACAGTTATGTTAATGTTAAAATAATTTGTGCGGGATAATTTATTTTATTTTATTTTTAAAAAAAATTATTATATTATTTGTTAAATTGATTGAATTGAAAACAAACAATAAAAATAATAATTAATAATTGATTTAATTTGTAAAATCAATTAACTTTTTATTTTTTTGGTAATAATAATAATATAATTAATTTATTAATAAATGTTTTTATTTAATAACAATTATTTTGTTTTATTTTATTTTATTTTAAGTACACCTTTTAAATCGCTAATTATTTTTTATTTTTAAAAATTATATTTTTGTCTATAATTTTTGATATTATTATAAATAAACATTAGATTTCAAAACAAAAAAAATTAATGATTAGATAAATTTGAAAAAAAAATTATATATATTTTTAAAAAAAATTATTATTATATATCATATATTGGTATTTAATTAATGATGACTACAATGATCGGTATGTGTTGTTGTTGTTGTCGTCGCTGATGATGATAACTGCTTTGGCGTATAATAGTCGCCGTAATCGTAGGTCCGGAGCGGCATCTCAAAGGTCAACAGTCCGTAATCTTTGGCCAAAGTTACGGCCACCAGAAGCTGTTCGTATTGATGGCTACACAGACAGACAACGGTATTGGGTATGACATAACCGGAGTATGGATTAATAAATTGCTTCATCAGATCCAAGTTCTGCAACAAACAAACAAACAAACAATAAGAAGTAATTTGTGGTCAAATCAATTCGGGTGATTGTCTACTACTACTACTACTACCGTATAATGCAAGACCAGATACTGGTCGCGACAAATACAACACGGATTGGATGTATAGACATAGTTATCGATAATACAGTTGCCCCGGGATTTGTACGGCGATTGCTGGCCACTAAAGTTACGTCGAAACAGATGCCAAACCAAATGATGACCGTAGGTCTGCTTATAGCCTATCGGGTCGGCGGAAGAGAGAGAGAGAGAGAGAGAGAGAGAGAGAGAGGAAGGATTGGATCAATTGATGATATGATTGAATAGTCCTGAAGACCTGATCCCAATGGATACCTACCGTTACTCTTCAAGTACTCTATGCTTGTTTCCGGTGATATTACTTGATATCTTTCGCGTTGTATTTGTCGTAAGTTATGGTCAAAATCGGGGATAAAATTTCGTGAAGAAGAAGACGACGGTGTCTGTTGTGAAGTCAATTGTTTGCTAACCGATTGGTTGCCGACGGCTGCTGTTGTTGCTGTTGATGATGATGGCCTGCCTTTACCGATACCACCGATCATTAGCGATGACAATCTTCCTGTTGTTGTTGTTGTTATTGTCTTTAATTTAATCATTATTTTTAATGATTTATTTAATTTATATATATTTTTTTAAAAATTAAATAAATTAATAATAAATGAATCAAAAAATATATGAATGAAATAATTATTTTTTTTTTACGTTTAAGTATATAATACTTGTATTATAACTAAACACATGTGTTATTATAATAGTGTTTATATTACTATTTTATTTTCAATACTATAGATGTCAACAATAATTGTGTGTAAAAATCAGTAATTTTTTGTTTTGTTTAATTTAATACTAAACAGTATATCCAATAAGTTATTGGATTTTATTATCATTTTATTAAAAAAAAAATTTAAAGTTAATATTAGTTATGATAACTATATATAGTTTCAAATTAATTAATATATATATTAATATATTATGTTTTAACTAATATTAAAAAATTTGTTTTTTTATCAAAAAAAAGTTTATTACTATATAATTAGTTATTTTTAAAAAAATCGCTTTTAGATTATTAATAATAAACGTTATAACTATTTTTAAAAAAATAATTTTTTAAAACTAAAATAACCACCCAACATTTTTGATTTTTTTTTTTTAAAATAATAAACAATTTTTAAAACAATTTCACAATCAAAAAATATTCAACAACAAATTATTTATAAAAATTTAATCAACAAAAAAAAAACATCATCAAAATACTATAATTATTTATGTTGTGATGATGATGATGATGATATCAATTTGACCCTCATAAATTTAACAAAACTTAAATAAACATATTATTTACATATATATAAATAAACAGTTTATAAAACAGTTATTGCATGATTCATAAATAACTATTTATATTATATATATATATAGTTTAATGGGATGTTTAGCAATAATTGTCTTATTTATAAACTTTATTATTATTATTATTATTTTTATGGGTATAAACAATATATTTCAAGTTTAGGGTGTAATATCATTTCAAAATTACCGTATATTTTCATTCAGCAACAAACAAAAAATGCTAAAATTTTTTTTGTGTTGAAGTAAACAAACTTTTTATTTCTCACTGTATGTGTCATAGCAATGGTATTTATGATCAAAAAATTTGTGTATTATATTATATAATTGAAATAAATAAGTAAACAATTTTGTTTAGTTTTTTTATATTGAAATACATATTTTTTTATTAATTCATCAATTCAAATTTATTATTATTATAAATTATAATATATATATATGAAACTTTCATTATCAATAAAATTATATATTTATAAAAATATTGTTATTGTCTTCACTAAAAAATGTTTTGTTATTATTTAATAATAATTTATTATTATTACAATCATTATATGATTATAAAAGTGTGTTTGTATGTGTGTGATGTGAAAAATGTTTTCTTTTTAAATACATATAAATAAACATATATATAGATATAAATAATATATATCATAAATACATATATATTTAAATATACATATATATATATATATACTGTATAACTATTTACAAAATGCATTTACTTTCAAGTATCAAGTTTTTCTCATTTAAATAAGTGATATAAATAATAATAATAGATATAATTTTTCGCTAATTACTATTTACACTATATTACACAATTAGTTAATATATATAATATATATATATAAAAAAACAATGTTTAGATGAATGGATAGATAGATAAAGAGAGAAAAACAAACAAACAAACAAATAATTAAAAAATATAAATAAAATGAAAGTATGAAATTACTATTATTATAATAATATAATAATTATTAATTAATTAATTGAATTATTTAATTAGTTATTATTTTTCTTTAAATAAATGAGACCTAAACAGTAAATTCAGGTCAAATAGATTGATGACTGTTTTGACTGCTGGTCGAAGACTGATCCGAGATAGTACCCGAATCCATGGGTGATGTTCGCCGCGTACACTGTACAGGTATACCAGTGGATACGCCGCTTTCAAGTTTAGCGGACATCCACGGATGTATTAGTATATCTTCAAGCGATGGTCGATCGCTCGGTGAGATTGATAGGCACTTTCGGATCAGATCCTGACATTCAGTGGATAATTTTCGCCTGAATCTAACGTCAGCGGATAGTATGTCGGCATCTTTTTCAAATGGTATATCGCCGCATACCATATCGTATAGTAGGACACCCAACGACCAGACAGTAGCCGTACGGCCGTGATATCGGTTATGACGGATCCATTCGGGTGGCGAATAGACACGGGTTCCTATAATTTTATAAAAATAGATAAAAATAAATTAATAAAATATTTATAAATTTTTTTTTTGAAAAAATAAAGTTATGTATAAAACGCATCACACTATATGTCAACAACAACACTACATTGCCTTCACAACAATAATAACAACAACAACAACTAAATTATTTTTGAAGCTCTGCACCAATTGTTATTCAAGGCTTACCCCCTAAACTAAACTATACATTCAAATACATATATAAACTAAATATTTTTGAACTGTTGTTTAGCTAACTATCTAACTACTACTACTACTAACAAAAACTAGTCAATGAGATAATGGGCACAACATTTCAAATTTTTATTTATTTTTTTTAATTTTATTATTTATTCATTATTATTGCTACAACTAATATATAAATAATATTATATAAAAAAATTATAAATCTTGTTATATACATATGTGTCTATATAAATATATATATATATATGCATGTAATGTGACCCAATTATCATCTCTCAATACATACCTACCAGTGCTAATTACTACCACCACTACGACTACTACTACTACTATTAACTACAACTACATATCATTGGCATATCATATGATAGACTGATTTGGTTTAAAATTTCAATATATATATATATTAATTAAAAAAAACTTTTCTATCAATTTCTCTCTCTCTCTCTCTTAACTGTATATTATATTATATTAACAGACAAACTAATCAAACAAACAAACAAAACAAAAACGGTATTTATTCTCTCAATAGTGAACCTGAAGGACGTGTAATAATACTGTATTAAAAAAAAAACTTTTATATAAACTTAATAATAATATTTAGAAATAAATATATGAATGTATATAAAAATTTAAAATAAAAACTTTTTTCTATCCAACCATTTTGTGTTAAATGTTTGGGTAAAACCAGTTCATACACACACACACATAGCTTAAAACCAACCATTGCTACCAAACAATTGTTGCATTGCTGGCATTCCTACCATTAAAAAAGCAATCAACTTATATATATAAATATATATATTTATAAATACATTACTAAATACTGTATATATATATATATATATATATATATATATATATATATATATATCTATCTATGCCTTTAGGGTGTGTCCACCATATTTATAGTTTAACATTAAAAATTTTGCTGTCATTTAAATCACATATACAAACACAAACATACACCACACACCTGTTCCCTATTAACTATTAATTTAATAATTAATTTTCATATATCACTCTCAAGTACTACAATATGCCATTATCATCATCCAAGTGTGTGTTAGTGTCTGTTAACTACAATAATAATAATAATAACAATATTATTATCAATAATCAAAAAGACACGTATATTATCTCGATATATATATTTTCTTTCCTCTCTCTCTCTCTCAATATATTTAAAAAATTCAATTCATGTCTAAACTAAACTAAGAAGTTATAGTAAAAAAAATAATAAATATATATACAAACAATAGTTGTTTTATGAAAATAAATAAATAAATAATAATAAAAAAGTTTTTTTTTCAGTTAAAAAGTAACATTATTTGGGTCACAACGCATGCTATAAACTAAATAAATAAATACTACAACTAAGACACACTACAATGTCGTTACTTTTTTTTTAAAAATGCTATCAAAATAAATATATATTTTCAAAAAAAAGTATTTAAAAACAATTATCAAAGTTATGTGTGTGTATATGTTTGGAGGAAAACCCACTTTTCAATTCATACATACAAACAAAATAAATAAAAATATTGTACTAATTATAGCTCAATGAGAGAGAGAGAGAGAGATAGACTATTGTTAAGGCAATTAGCGGTTTTTGAGGACACATATACATACACATAGACAACAACAACAACCAACCAAATCAAACAAATGGACGGTTAGGTAGAAGAAAAAAAACAAACAGATATTCTCCTAATAATAATAATAATCTAATAATTTTTTTTCTTAATACAAATCATTTCGTGATAATAATAGTCAAAGACGTCAACTAATATATAAAATAATTATAAGAAAAAAAAAATTATTAGACAATCAATTGGTCTTTTAAAATACTAAATGACGTAAAAGGAAATATTGTTTGCATCAGAGGAGAGTTGGTTTTACTGAGTGTATGTGTGTGTGTGACGTATGTTTGTGTTGTTATTATTATTATACAGTATTTTCATCAACAAAACCAAACCAAACCAACAGAAGAAGAAAAAACTCGAAGATATACATAATTAACCAAAAAAAAAAAAATAAAATAAAAACATACCATCAAAATCACTATAATGAGTATCCTTTAAGTAGGCACCGGAACCAAAGTCGACAATCTTCAGTGTATAGGTTTTCATGTCGACCAATATGTTTTCGTCTTTGATATCCCGATGTATAACTCCGGCCTTATGACAGGCACTAACCGTTTCCACCACTTGCCTGAAGAACAGACGGGACAGCTTTTCCTCCAGTACGGCTTTTTCGGTAATAAAGTCGAACAAATCTTTCGACGATTCCGGCCTTTCCATGATTATGATAAACGAATCGTTACGTTCGTACCAATCGATCAGTTTGATTACACCCGTGATGTGATCGACTTTACGCAACAGACTGATCTCCAATGGTAATCGATGGCCAGATGACTGATCAAATCAAAGATCAAATTCAAACAAAAATGTTAGTATAAAACACAAACAAACAAACGGATTGGTGTCATGTAGTCAGTTAGCCTACCTGTTCCCAAGCGGTCACCTTATCTTTGCTGATGTGTTTGATGGCCACCTGTTTCGTTTAAAAATTAACAAAATTAATTATATATTAATTAATTTTTTATTAATAAAAATTAATATATGATATTAGTATACATAATGTATAGATAGATATATATCCCATAGCCTCAACATTGAGAGCAGCGACTATTTTTATATTATATATATATATATATATATATGGTTTGAAAAGCCCTAAGCGAGAGGAAAGGGAGCCAACATTTTTTGGCGCCTCTCTCTCTCTATACTATACACTATTGAGAGCGCACTGGGATTTTTTGGCAAATGGCGCTATAATATGACTGAGTTTTATATATATTTTTAAAAAATAATAAAATAAAATACAATATCTAAACAATTTAGGTGACGGTTATATCCAATATACTAAATCATATATCAATTCATATATAGATAGATAGAGATAAACACTTACGGCCAGTGAATCGCGAATCCTGGTGCCGGCATAAACAGTACCGAAGCCACCCTTACCGAGCACTGGGCCGACCCGATAGCAACGTTCAAACGGTTCCTTACTATTATTATTATTATCTTTCATTGTCTTCATATTAATGGACATCATTTAATCACTTGGATCAGTCATTAATACACACAACAACAACAACAACAAAAATCCGATTTAAATGGTCACACAGGAGGGAAAGTTGGTTTTTAGTTTGGTTGGGTTGGCCGGTGTGTTGTAGTTGTAGTAGTAGTAGTAGTAGTACTGTATATTTGGCGGCGTTGTTATGTATGTGTGTGTGTGTGTTGATGGTTGAGTTGGTTCACAGATACTTCGCTGAGCACTAGTAGTCTGTATGGTTAGTACTGTAGTATATATAACCAATTATAGGGCACTGGTATGCTATATGAACTCCACTTTATATGAAAAAAATTTATATCCAACCGAACACTAGCGCAGCAAATGTCTGACTGCCAGTCACTGCCTGTTATGGCTCTCTATCTATCTATAAGTTTGAGTTTGAATTTTATTTTATTTTTTCTGTTAATATACACTACGTGTATACGTATGTACAGTATGTATGTGTATGTGTACAGTGTATGTATGGCTATATAGTGTGTGTGTGTGTGTGTGTGTAGTGTATAGTGACGGGGAATAGCATTGCCTTTTCCTAACCAATCAATGGCTACCAATTGACCCAAACGTCACAGACATCTACACACACATTGAAACTTTTTTTTCGTCGACATCGACCAACCCGTTCACATACACTGTTACACTGCGTTCTATTTTTTATGCGCGCACTGTATGTATGTGTGTAGACCTAAATTTATTGGGTAATAGTGTGGGGGAAGTGATGGGGGGGGGGGGGGGATTTAGTGTGTGTGTGTGTGTGTGTGGGTTAGTTAAGTAGAAGTTATGGTGTGGGGGGTGAGGTGAATGTCTCCACTAACAATTTGGTTACGTTATATATGGATTTTTTTTAAAAAACATTTTCGCACACTGTACAATATAATAATAATATTATTATTATACAGACTCTATTCAGTGTCAATGAAACTATAATTAATTAAATTCTATTAATTAGTTAATAATAGTTAATAAAACTTTAATAAAACTATAGATAATCAATGATTTATTAGAAAATTTTCTAAAAAATTTTTTACTTAATCGAATTCAAATCGAATTTTTCGATATAGACATCCAGAACTATATTCTCAAGTGTTTTTAATGTGTGGTGTTCTAGTAGTAGTAGTAGTAGTAGTAATAATACTCTCTGTATATATACAGTATAAACGGGTAGTTATTAGGCCTATGTCTGGGAGTAGTCGTGTATCGGCGCGAAAAATATCGGTGCCATTACTCTCTACGGTGTGTATACTGTATATAATATTATATATATATATATGTATGTATGGGCTATAGTATAGTCTCTTAACTAGTGTTACTAACTATATGTATATATGATAGTAGTAGTAGTAGTAGTAATAGTAATATTTAAGTGAATATACTGTATATAGCATTGTATTACAATTTATTACTATTAGTTTTTTTTATATAGTTTGTAGGCTCAATGTACTGTATTTATTATTATTATTATTATTATTAGTAGTAGTAGTAGTAGTCTAACTTTTTTTAAATTGACCATGCTGCATTATATTAATATATATACTGTATATATATACAGTACACACTATGTATAGGGCTATTATGTGTGTCTACAATGTGTGTGTGTGTGTGTTAAGTAGTCTACGATATGTGCGATAATATCTTTTTACAGTATATTAAATTAAATTGAAAATAATAATGTGTTAACAATTGCAACATTTTATATATAATATATATAAAACTTTATATTATTATTATATTAAATTTCATTTTGATTTATTTTTATATCATTATTTTATTTTATTTTTAGAAAATAAAATCTATTATATATATATACTAAATAAAATTTTAATTTCCAATATTGCAATTTAAATTTTTATCTCTAGTATTGCAATTATTTATTTTAATATAATTTTTTTAATTATTACAATGATTCTAGTATTTTATTTTAATTAAAATTAATAAATTATTAAATATCTAATTAATAGAAAATTAATAAATTACTGATTTATTTGATATTTTGAAATAAATATTTGCCAATATATATCATATATCGTATATATATATATTTAATGGAAAATTTTTTAATAATTACTACTATTAATAATAATAATAATAATAACCCAATAAGTTATTTTGACAATTAGTTAGCTATTTGCTAATAAAAACAATTTATTATTATTTAAAAAAAAAAAATAGTTTATTTATAAATTAGCTAACACATATACTAAAAAAAAAAACTGCTTACACATTGATTAACACTGGTAGTAAATAACTAAAAAGTGGCTAGACAGTTTATATATATATATTAATATATTAATAATATAGTATATAAATTAAGATTAATATATACTAGCATTTATAGAGTATTATATATATATATAGTGTATATTAAGATATAGATATTTGTGGAATTTATTAATAGAAATTTAATATTAAAATATTTTTATAATAATAATAATAAAAATTTACAAGGTAAACTTATCATTTAAAAAATTAACATTTACATGTACAGTGTGCATTATAATTTAATTAATACTTTAATAATACTAATTGTGCATGTACAAATTTACATTGTTGGACAATTGTCCAAAATATTTCCATTTATATACTGTATATACCATATTATATATATATATATATATATACAGTATATATAATATAATAATGACATTGAAATACATAATTAGTTTTAAAAAAATATTTTTTGATTTTTAAAAAATGTTTATAACTAAATATATTAATAATCGATAAAACAGATTACATTTGGAAATACTTTTTATATAAATTTATATATAAATATTCAGTATATATATATTGAATAGGAGGGAGAAATGGGTGTCTAAATTGTGTATTATATATATATATACAGTATATTTTAAAAGTTTTTTTTGTAAATTTTGTTGTTGAATGCAATTAACACTTTTTTGGCGCACTTTTTATTTTTCTCAGCAATTTTTTTTCTGGTCTCAAAAAATGTTTTAAAAAGTTTGTTGTGTTTAAGTATTACACTATATATATATATATATATATATATATTTGTATATTGACTTATGTATTGAATATAATATAATAAAAGAGCGCTGGAATGTCGTCTAACCGGACATTCAATATTTTAGTAGTACTGTATATATCTATGCAGTGTTTTTAGTACACATACCAGACATTGCATACCACATACCAGTGCTTAATAATAATAATAATAATAATAATACTTATATTCAGTACACTTTGTGAGAGTTCAAACTACATATATTATATACATGTATGTATTGGCGCGCGGATTCACATTCACACACACATACATACATACATACAGTACATACATATACAGTCACTAAACAACACTGACATAACTTAACCTAAAACACTAAACATATTTTTATATATACAGTGCCTATGTTTGGTGGGGTGTTTGCGCCAAACAAAAAAAAATATATTACAGTATATTCAATGACCATTCAATACATTTCATTACTACTACTACTAGTAGTAATAGTAGTATAAGTAGTACTGTATATACGATACGATTTGTATTAAAAAAAAAAACTTTTAGTTTCTCTCTCTCTCTCTCTCTCTCTCTTCTTGTTTGGATATTTCCGATTAAATTACCAAACATTTTAGGCTTTCATTTACATTTCATTTATAGTTTATTTACTGTATATTTCATATCTATTTTCTCTCTCTCTTTCTCTCACTAAAAGCACTCATAAATCTTTTTTTTTTTTTTTAAATCTTATTTATTAGTAATACTGTATAACTTAGTAGTGTATTATTCATTAAGTGTGTATATATTATAAGTGTGTATACATAAGTGTGTATGTATATATAATATAAATATAAACACTATATGTTAATTCCCAGAAAAATTTATTATTGTTATTATTATTAGTAATACTAACTATTTCCCAAACCTAATGAAATAAGCCATGAATACATGATAATAATAATAATATTTATATTTAATATCGCAACTAAAACTTAACAAACAAACAAATAAATATTATTTTATTTAGAAAAAAAAATCATTTCATTGCTTAATGTTTTATTTATAGACTATATCACTACTACAGTACTTAACTAACTATTAATAACTAATACATAGTTTTATTTTCATAAATAATAAAAGAGTAAACAACAAGTAAATACATATACAAAAAAATATTTGTGAGTTTGTTGTGCATTATTGTTACCTAAAAAAATATATAATTATAATACTAATAATATACACACAGATTATTACTATTATACTATTGCTTAATAATTGATTATTTTTCAAAATTACCAAGAACATTATAACTAAATCTAATCTAGATCTAGAAGCTAATAATATATTGAATTTTTTTTGTATTATTATTATTAGTAATATTATATATTATTACTATATATATAAAATAATAATAATAATTATTATTATTTTTAATATAATTATTTTCGCAATAAATTGTAATTTGCATGTCGCGGTTTAATGCATTTTGGCAACACTATATATATAATATCATATATGTATATATATATTTAACATATATTATATATACTGTATATACTGTATATAAGTGTGGGTTATGAATTTATAAATACCAGTACAGTATATATATATATATATATATATATATTAGTATACATATATAAAATTAAATACTAATAGCCAAAAAAATGTTGCTTATTTCGCAAACATACACAAACATATACACAACATAAATGAGATGCACTTATTTTAGATATAGATATATATATTTATATACTAATTGGTGCCACCAGTAGATCCCATATATTATATACCATACCCGGTATGTATTCATGTATATAGTATGACAGATATCATAATATCATAATAATAATAATAATAATAATAATAATAATAATAACAAAAAACAAGTCGTCGTCACTGTTTCGCAACTTTAAACTTAATGTTCAGAATTAATTTATATATATATATAACAAAATTAATTTTTCCCCTTAAAAACAAAATTAAAAATTAAATTTGGCAACACTTGTCTAATTTTAGATTACATATTAGTATATACAGTATATATATACTGTATATATAATTTTTTCGCATTATAAACGCTTTACTAATTAATTCATTTATTATTAATGTATTTTTTTCCCTATACAATGTCGCAATATTTTTTTGTTATTTTTTTGTTAGTATTAATTTGTTTGCTAGTTGTCTAACAATCTGATTATAAATTATAGTTTTTATTATTTATAATATATATTTTTTTAAAATTAACATTTTAATATTTTTTATCTTATTTTTTTTATTATATATTATTATTTTTAAAAAATATATATATTGTATATAATATTTATTTGTAGACTAATGTAAATTAATATAATATTTCTAATTATTAAATATATAAAGTTTTTTATTTAATAAATTAATACTATGTTATTAAGTATTTTAATATTTAATATTTAG